CATAAATAAAACTATTATGGCTATTATTAAGGTTGCTCTGGTTGATTGGTCACTGATCTTAATCGGACAATATTAAGTCTAATTAGTTTGACTGGCCATCTCTAGAAACGCCAATTAGCTGACACATTTATTTTATTCCACAGGAAGGTTATTCAGTCTCTTTGTTAATACGCGGCTCATACAGTCTGTATATGGAGAAAGGAGAAGAGAGAGACGGGGTAAGCCGGTGTGTGTGAGACAGAGGTATAGGTGTGTGCGTAAACTATAATCATCTAAATAGACCCAGTGATCGGTTCATATGTGATCAGGTGATCAGCCTCAAAAACCCTGATCGGTGCACCTTTAGCTATTATGCTTTATTCATAACCATGCTTTACCTCATCTGTCTTATTTCACAGCAAAGCTGTCTTAATGACATATTTAAAAAAGGTTTATGAAGGGAAAATCATGACTAGTGATTCATGCAGATTGGGATTAGGTAGAGGCACAATAGGTGTGAGCCACAACCTAACTACTCAATACACTTTATCATAAAAGAGGCTCCACTTGTTAAACAACTACAAACTAGTTATCAAAACACGTAATACACCGTTTACATTAAGTGGATCATCAGGTTTTCTTCGAGATTTCTATCAATCAAACCAGAATTTCTCTGACAGCCAAAAAGCAGGTTAGACAATTTCCCATATGTCAGTTTTGTCGTAATTATTTCAGACAAAAAGGCTGACTTTGCAGTGATTTTTCAAAACCGTTGATGCAACTGCTTCACTTTTTTGTTATTTTGCAATAAACTGTTGTAATATTTAAAAACTGTAAACGTGGTTCTTGAACATTCTTGTTGTACTCTGTGCAGAGCACAACAGGAATGCTGAATTAAGCCCGTCAAGCAGCAAACACTCCCAGGCAGTGTAATGCTCGAAACAAGCACCATAAATAAAATGGTTACAGTCTTTACTGAAGGACATAAATTAGATGAGACTAAACGTGCAGGGCACTTAAATCAAATCCTAACCCACTCTTATATCACTCAAACAGGCTGCAGCCTATGGCTATATCAAGTAGATGTGCTGATCTCCCGACATAAGACTTGAGTTTTAACGTTTTTAAGAAGAACATAAATGTCTCTCAATCGTAAAAAATGTTCAAATTCATCACTGTAAGATAACAATATTGCAGTTCAGTTTTGCAAGAAAGGAAGTTTGGAGGAACTCAAACATCCAACATGTCATCAAGGTAACAATTACCCTTTACAGTACAGCTCCTGTTGTATGGAAAACACTCAACAGTTCACAGTTGCTTAGAGTACACAGGGCCCAGTTAAGACAAATATATGTAAATTAGACATAAATCCAGCCACTGACAACACAGGCATGGGTGGAACTAAACATGCAGTGATGCACAAATACTGCTATGCCACCTGTATGTACTGCAAGTTCATATATTCTAGATCAATCAAATTCTTATCTCAATGAATCGATATTACTAAATCATACATGTCTAGTGGAGCTAGTAGGCTCAAGGGTTTGGCTTTATGCCTCGATTACACCGCACAGCAATTTATAATACTGTGAGACACAATTTTACAGTAGAAATATCGCATTCACATGCAAATTGTCTACTGGTAATGTGCACTTGCATGTATTGAATTGGCCAATGCAGCGCCTTGTTGGATGACACCACATTGTGGAAAAAGTTGAGCTAGGTTATACTTTTTTGCCGGACGACCCCCTGAGTTGTCAACTCGCTGCATGCAGGGCTAATGTCAGTCTGAATCCTCACATTTCAGAGGCTGTTTGGCTTCTTTGCTTAAAAAAGGAAACATATTAAAACAACCACTAATTTTCTGTTCAATCAAGTTGCGGCTATGGCTCAGAAGGTAGAGGGAGCATTAACAGCAGGGTTGGCGGCCAGACCCCCAGCTCCTCCTGTCAACATATCAAAGTGTGCTTGGGCAAGACACTGACCCTCAAATTGCTCCCGATTGTGAGGCTAGCACCTACCAGCCATCAGTGTGTCAGTGTGTGTGAATGACTGAATTTGCAAAGGGCTTGGGTTAAAAGCGTTACATGAATACAGCCATTTAATTTCAGAACTGTAAAGATCCTTTAATAATCAACACCATCAGACATGTGGCCACTCTTCACTGCTTATGTGTCACAGCCCAGTCCTGGCTGACTGGTGACTAGTGCGTTATATCTTATGATTTTGTCCACCTGAAATACTATTAAATGCAACATGTTGTCTCTGTCCAAAACCGTGGTTCTTGAGATCAATTTTCACATCAAACATAAACAGCAAGCAGAACACCACTTCAAACATCTGCCTGTGTGAACTTTTATGAGACATGAGGGAGAGAAGGCAACATGTGCAACAACAGCACACATGGACGTCTGGGGGAGCCAGCAACAGAATAATAAACAAACTAAAGTCTGCCGGTCACTAACAGGGTTTATTGTGCATGGCTGAGCACCCCTCAGACGGACAAAGAAAACAAGCAAAAAGAAATATGGAGATGCAGAAAGATCTCTGGGTGAATGTTCTGTGCATGTCTCCAGCCCCAAATACTCGCCATCTGTTGACTCTTTCTGGACTCCGCAAATCAGACCATCAACTTTAAATAGATATGGACCAGGTGTCATCATAGCAGAGGCAATTCAAAAGACAGAGGAAGCTCCTATAAGCTGAATGAGGAGCATCTCTCCACTATTTCTGACAACTAGCGAGTGGGGTTAGAAAAACACACCTAATCGAAACGCATTACAGTTAATGACAACAGAAGGCAGTGTGCAGGTCTGCTGACTATCGCCCTGTCCGATAAATGTCTCCTTTCAGCTAAGGGGAGTGGGGCGGGGTGGGGGGAGACAGTGAGGGAGAGGAGAACCAGGAGGACTCGGTCAGCCTGGGGGCATGGGCAGCTGAACAGGCACGACAGCACTAAGCTGTAAAGTGGCTTTGTGGTTGCAAAGTGTTCCTGAAAAATGTCCCCTGTAGTCACAACAAACAGAGGACAGTACACTGGGCCCAGCTCCATTGACTGGCCACAGTGTAGGAAATGAAGCTATCTGAGGGGGAAGAGGTATCATCAGGAAGCATCTGGCATCCTCCATGTGGGTGCTGGGGAACATCCAGGTTCAAATGGACACTGCAGTACATATTCCCTCCCATTTGAGTAATTTTATAAACTGCTCCATAGTAAAGAGGGTTGGAGGTTTTAGCCTGCAATGCCCTCTCTCTAGCAGTCTGCCCTTTGGTCATGGGTTATATCTGTATCTCTGCTGAGGTGACAATGCATTGAAAGATGAAGTGGTCCAGAGGTCACTGCTGATAGATGTGCAGCATTGTGCCTGGGACTTCACACGAAAAGAAAAAACTGCCAATGAATTGGAATAGGGCATAACAGTCTGTCTATGCATTGTATTTATGAAATTGATCTTGAAACAACTCTTTAGCCTTATATTAGATAATATTAGTAAAATGTCCACCACAATTTCCAAGAGCCCAAAGTGACAAATGTCTTGTTTAGTCAGATATTGACTTTACAAGGATATAAAACAGACAAAAGCAACAAATCCTCCGAACGGAGAAGTTCAAACAGGATAATTATTCTATTATTCTATTATTCTGTCAACAAATCTATTAATCGCCTAATTGTTTTAGCACTACTAAACATACCACTAAAAAATAAAATTACATCATATTAAGTCCTTTCAAAGTCTTCTAAATCATGTGAGGACACAAAAGTAACAATGTTGTTTAGTATCATGGTTGTGTGCTATACTATTCACTATCTTTTGATTTACTCCTTTATCATTAAGCACAGACTATCTTTACAGTCCAGATACTGAACAGCAGACATCAACCACAGCACATATTTTGCCTATTAAGCTTTCTCTGGCTCTGAAGCACTTTAGCCTGATAAAGACTGTCCGAATGAGCAACAAATCTCATGATGGAGCAGAATTTTTATCTAGTATAGATGGGTTTTCTAAGATGATAGATGACAAAGTGATTACTCTGGAATAATAAGGAGAGACACAATGCACTATCTCTCGTGGTACACTCCAGTACTCAGGTCTGTGTGTGTCTACATGCTGTACCATGCACTTCAGTCACAGTGGGCAAATTTAGGACATCTGGGACGAGGTGATGATGAAGGCCTGGATGAGACAGTGTGTAGCAGTACAGTCTGTCTGTTGATTACAGGTTGCTGAATCAGTGAGAGAAAGACAGAGGGCTCCTTTGAGGATCATGTGATTAAGGGGGTGCAAGTGACACTGTAGTCAATCCATGTGTCATGGGGGACATGTCACAAAGATGTCAGGGAAATTGATCCTTAAGACAAATGCTTAAGTGAGGTATTGTTAGAGATCTGGATTATAAACGGTGTAAAGTGTAAGATAACCCTTTACTCAGTTATGCTCAATATGACGGTCAAATTTCCACACAATACACAACTAGTCAGGATTCAATATCATGTTCAAGGACACTTAGATAATGTCTGCCAACAGTAGTTTGAATGAGGATGCTCTTAGACACTAAGACCAGCATACCACATCAACAATGGTACATCTGGAGCACGTGCTGCCTGCCCCCTTTTTTAAAGATGCATACACCATGAAGGGCACGTATGAGGCGTAAACAAATTCAGAGGAAATCCACACCCTTTCAACGCAACCACAGAGCACTTTCCACCAACAACAGCCCCTGTTAACACACTGCTGCCACTGCTAAATAAATGCCATTACTATATCTTCTATATTAACAAAAACAGAGAAGACTCTGCTTAATCCCCAACCAGTTTGTACTGACATCTCCCTGAGCCCGAGGAGATCATAGGAAATAAACCTAGTGATGCCAGTGACATAACTGACCTATATCTAAAACTTTTTCTCTGGCAGCTGAGCCTGTGAAATGAAATCCCTAATCCACAATGTCAACGTGCACAAGTAAATAGTAGATGAGAGCACAAAGAGACTGAGCATACTTTGAACAATACTTACTCAAAGGTGAAGAAAAGTCCACAGGTCACTAGAATGAGGACAAGGGTGAGGTAGAAAACCCCTGTCTGCTTGGCCATCATAATCCTCCCATCGCAGTAAAATTTATTCCGACCTTGGAAGGACTCCCACTTCCTCTTCTTTGGGGTCCTTTTCTTGTAAGGAGTCTCCATTGGTGTGGAGCTGCGAGTGCTTATTTGGCTGTACTCGCACTCTCTCATGGACTCAGATACCCCGAGATGCATCGACGGCTGATTAAAAGCCCCACAGCTGAATAAATCCCGGGGCAGATGTGCCTCTGTGAAGAGAATAAACCAGTTCAGTTCAACATCACAACTTTTCATGCCTGGGGTGTAGTGTAGGTGGGAATAAAAGAAAAAAAGTTTGTGAAAAGTGCAAGACACACTTCCTGTTATTAATAATACCAAGCTAACGTACACACCACCTCTATGTAGCTTTCTGAAAACACACCTAGACTCCCAGTGCGTCCCGTACAGCTACAAATAAAGTCAATACAGCGGGTTTTAACTAACACAACGTTAGCTAACTTAGCAAATAACTTCACCGGCTGCTCACACATACCGTAGCTTAACGTTAATAGCGTCTTTGTTAGCAAGCAACCTGGTTAGCATTTTATAGCAACTGAATGTAAAAGTGCCGTTGAAGCTAACGCGGCTAGCAAGTTGATGGGCTGACTGGTAAGTTAATGTTAGCACGTCGGTCAACTTGTGTTAATTACTTAACGTTAGTAGCGCTAGCTCTCCTGACACTCACTTCACCCACAGAACCAAACACACGCGTTTGACTTGGCTATTTTACTTTGAGCTCTCAACACTGAAGAGGAGCTAAAATGAAGGGCTTTTGTTTGTTTCGTTTTTTGAGTGTGCTGTCAGCCACATAACATCAGAGACAGCACGGCTTCACATCCCGGCGGTGTTGTTGAGCTCTGCCCGCTGAAGCGACAGATGAAGCGCTGCCTTACCGAAGGAAAGTAACGCTGGTCGTCGTGTTGGGGTGTTGTCACGTTAGCTACTCCTTTCGTTATCCAGGTTTGTTACGAGCCGACGACAAAGCGAAGAACACCATTTTTTTAGAAGTTTAAGAAAGAAAAGAAAAAAGAGTTGGAAATTGGCACAAGGAAGAACTTCGTTGTTTTTTTTTTTATAAAAAGAAAAAAAATGGGGAAGGGGAATCCAGAGAAAAGACCACACGACGGGGTGCTCTCAGACGAGCTCCAGCATCCTGACTGGCTGTCGCTTTCAGACAGACACTACGAGTCTTTGCGCACAACGCGAACCAAGCAGGACCTTCACTGCCATATGCCCAAGTGTTTCACAGCGACAGTCGGCCAGGAATCATCGGAGATCTCCACCGGTTCAGCCGCGTTTTCGGTAAAAAAAAAAAAAAAAAAAAGTTGCAGCATTCCCCCCCCCCCAAGAAAAGGCGTGCAGGCAGGCCAGTCGGCAACCCTGCGTTCACACTGTGGTCCTCTCCACACAGTGCTGCCACCCTCGCAAACAACAAACATCAACATCAACATGGGAGCAGACCAGAGCCTCCCAGCCTGCTCCTCCCCCTCCAACCGAGGCTGAAGTCACTACTGAGGAGGTGCAAAGGGAGGACGGGCTGCTAAAGGGGTTCCCAAACGGTGGTCTAGGGACTTCCAGGTGTCCGTTAAGGGAGGGGGTGGGGGGTCGGGGTTTCTCCGAGCAGGGGCGTGTCCAGGGAGGGGCCTTTGGGGGGGGGGGGATCACAGCACCAACATCAGGTGAGTGTACTCCTGCAGGTTAATAGAAGTTTTTATTAATGCTTTTGGTCTTTCATGGCGGTTTCAAAAAGGCCAAACTAATGCCGCCTGTTAACTGATACAATATAAATGGGAATAAATAACACAACAGCCTACTGCTAGAGGGGAGGGATAAGACTGCTAATGTTATTTATTTTTCTTACTGTTTACAAATTCCATGAAAAGACCAAAACCAACAAGGATTTGACCCTTCTAACTAATGCTGGCAATGTAGCCAAAGCCCAATAAAGCCTCTGGCGCCATAGAGCTCCATTATTGTTGAATGAAAACAGTATTAAAACAGATCAATGAGCCACAGGTTGGCACCAGATGTTCCTTTATTACCATAAATATGGGCACTTTTGATTATTTTGAGTCCATCCCCAAACACTGGTACAATATATATATACACTAGCACATAAAATAATCCCCAACCAACACACTATTTAATCCTTTTTCTATTGTTATTATTATTGAGAGTTGACTAGAATAGAGGGGAGATCGAGATGGTCAGTGACATGCACCAAAGGTCCTCAGCTGGATGCAAACTGGGGACACCATGATCCATGGTCAGCACCCCGATCCCGAGGCCTCACGGGCCCCTCTCCTAGTTAAGCTTTGGTAGAAAACTAAGCTATCTTAGAAAATGATACATTTATATATTCAGGATCTGTTTTACAAAGATTTACATCTTCAATAGGAACAAATGGAAATGAGCCTAAGATCCATAGATGATCAGAAAGTCTTTAGATGGTTGCCCTGGTGGCCAACTGCAGTAGTGCAACAACAAATCCTGTGCAGACTACTATTAAAACTATGTCTGTAAAACTATTAAAGGGACACCTCAAACTGCAGACAAGGTTATTTACTTTACTTTGTATTAGTACTTTCTGAACCGTACAGATTTAATGATTATAAAACCTTCCCAGAGCCAAGAAAACCACTTTTATCCCTGTGTGACATAGTGTTAGTTAAAGGTCTATGGAAGTAGTGGGCACAGAGAGAGAGACACTAATGCACATGTGCAGTGAGTGAAGCAGAAAAGCTGTTTGTGCAGCTTCCACTGGAATGAATGGATACCATCTTGAAGTACGGTATCTAGTTCTTTTGAACATGAGAGATTGGTCATGTTAATACGAGTACGAGTCAAGACAGTGTCTGTATACTTTAGTCCTGTATTATTTCATGCGTAGAAATGAGTACAGCTGGAGATTAATGATGCCCCTTTATTTCCCTGTTCTGACCTGCAGACATTCTTTTCCCTGGAAGCTTCATCAGGAAGCATGAAGTGATTGAATGAATCAACATGAGGAAGGTCATAAAATGAAACAAAACAAACATTTTCATTGACACTGAATCATTAAATAAATGATGGCAGTATCGGTTATATTAACTTTGTTTCTGTTGACAACAGACATGCAGTGATGTCGCCACACAGCTCGTGCCAAGTACAGTTCACTGATGATGCAATTTCCTGTTCAGCCGGCATTAGTACAGATTATTGCATCATCGGCCCACACTTCCTCTGTCATCTGTCCTCCTCTAAACACCTACACACGCACACATGCACACACCTCCTCATCCTCAGCTCTGAAGTCACCCAAGCGGTTCTGCTCGTTCACTCCCACAGCCGTACAATTATCCACTTTCTCTGAGAAGAAGTCTGGCTGCATTTCATGTAATGTGAGAGGACTTAATTGTTCGGAATCAAACATCACGCAGAGAGGAGAACATTTATTCTCACTGCACTTTCATGTCCTGCCAATGCATTTGTTGTAGGAAAGCAGGATTCTGCAATCACTGAGCTTTGTTATCAGATTGGAAATTAATCATCACCCATCTGACACACACACACACACACACACACACACAAACTGTAATTACTTCATACAGAGAGCTGGCTGACGATGCAGCATCTCTAAGGAAGTGGTCATGTACAGTATAATGTAAGTTAAAGCCTGTGTCAGGCATCTGCAGTCTGACTGAGAGCATAATTGGCTGCCACCGCTGGGCATGTGAAGCTATCAAGTGACACATTTCACTTAATTTGTTGAGAAGCTGTGGATATTTTCAATGGTCGCTAATGATCTGTAAGCCCCCACCCCCTAACCCCACTGTCCCTAGACTAATTCTTTAAGCATGGGCCTCATTAAGCAATGTGATGACATATGGCTGAAGTTTGTGTTGGGAAATGGATGGACATGATAGGGGCCTTTGAGTCCGAATCCAAGAAAAACACCGGGCCCAGAATCACATCCTGGCAAGGCCTCATCAAACGAAACAGTATTGTTTCATTTAGAAAGCTGGACGTGATGAAAGAACGTAGAGACATCAAAGCCTCATCAAGAGTCCAATATACTCTCTATAGCCACAGTTACTGGACACAGCCTGACTCGGTAAACGCCACCGCTAGCACACATATATTGTAACACGCCTGGAAAGGTCAGAGCGGTCCTTTTTGTTTTCACCCTATACTCATTCATCTACCTACGTTAGCGGTGAGAGGCAGCAGGGCAGGGTACCCGGGCCGGCGGTAGCCAATGACGGGCCTGGCTCCCTCTCAGCCACCACATCCATCGTGTCAGAGCTCGATGACTCAGCTTCTCAAAGGCACAGGAGTGTGGGAGGTTTTCTCCTGCGGTTGGCTGCCTACGTGAAACGCATCCTCCATCACCAAAAAAAAAAAGTACAGCAATCCACTTTCTATCCAAACTCTAAATGACAGGCTGAAATGGAAAACACTCCGAGGTAGAAGCTGTTTATAACGTGCAGGTGCATACATGTAACAACACTGAGCTACAGGTAAGAAGACGTATAGCATATGAATCATTTCTCTCTCCACAGAAACATGCTTTAGTTAGAAATCAATTAGGCTGTTAAGTACCTCTCAGGCATGCAGTAATTAGTTTTAAGGTGTCAGTAAGATTTTATGAGATGAATATGAGTGATTGTACTTCTCTGTAACCAAACAACCCTGCTAACAATCATTCTTTGAAACGCACCCAGTGATGAGGCTGTTTATTGCCTGTGTTGTCAACCTCAGGAATGTTATTATTGAAGGCAGCTTAAAATAGGACTTGATATTATGCCCATATTTCCCCTGGCAAAGCGGAGGAGAGAGGAAGACGTCAAATTCCAACTAAAGAGGAAGTAATAATTCTGGGAACAAAACAAACTGAGGACTCTATTCAAACATACAAGATAAACAGAAAGAAGAAGAAAAAATGGAGAGTAACGGGTGTGATCCACAATGAATGTAGCCTCTGATGTGTTACTCTAGATAATAAAATGGGCTGTTGGCATCTATATTCAACACTTCTTCTTTCTTATAAAACTGACCCAAGTTAGAGGGTTAGAGTGTAGCTGACATTCATTTAGAGACAGTGGAGAATGTCTATGTTTATGTCTGCTTTTAAATTCCTACCTGATGTCTGTGTTTACACTTAACACCTTGCATGCCTTCATTAAAAGAGAGACCTATGAGCCTTGGTCTAAATAAGAGAAATAATAAGAATAAAACTTCAAGTGTGCCACCCATTTATCATAATAATATTATCTTTGATTTGATATCGGGAAAAATCTGGAGGCCAGATATAGTCCAGTCATGGGATTTCATTGTTAAATAAAAACATAGATATAAGAGGAAGGTCACTGTCTTAAATTGAACTGAAGTGCATAAATATCAGGTCCAAACTTGCAAAGAACCCAATGCAGAAGGGGAACTAATATGAGCTCTCACACAAACGATATCTTACACTCAGCAGATATATTTATATATATATAGAGAGAGAAAGAATTGATAAATTGTGTTACTTTAGCATTATGTACTATAGCCAAAGATGAAGGGAGAGACAAAGACAAAGACCTAAATGTACTCTGGGGAGCCAGTATGGTTCTCAACAAATCTCCTGGATGTCTGGCTTGAGTAGAGCCTGGTACAGAGTGACCAGAGTTTAAATTCTGTGACCAAGTGTCCATGTCTCTCTATGTCAGCCTTGTTGATGCTTCTCATGAGGGCAACGGGCCTTTTTTTCCCCCATGGCTTTATTGGATAGGACAGCTGAAGATTGACAGGAAGGGTGGGTGGAGAGAGAGGGGATGACTAACAACAAAGGGCTGCAGGTCAGATTCGAACCCGGGCCGCTGCAGCAACTTTGTATATAGGTCGTCAGCTCTACCGACTGAGCTAAGCAGGCACCCAGCGATGGGCTTTTCTTTTTATGTTGACATAAAAAAATGTCACAGTAAGGAAAGCACAGGCATTAAATAAACTATTGATGGCTGAATTCCATTTAGCTGCTTCAAGTTCAGGGTCTTGGGATTTATCACTGTACGGGCTGAGAAGGGTGTTAGAAAGGTCATTGACCTCTTTCTTAATGAGGAAATGATGAAAGCTGATGCTGTTAGAGGAGCGGCTCAGATTGAGTTCGGGGTCCCCCGGGCACAGTAAGTACTCATTATTATACATGAATACAATAAGTACTCCTGGTGGTATCTCAGTGGACCCAGACCACAACATGAATACATCAACAATATATCAGCATTATGTGATCAATAAATGGGTTAACCACTTCATTTTTACATTCCTTTTGAAATCCCACATGTTGTACAAAGAATGAGAGATGTCCTTTAATGTCCTTACATTAGAATATATTAGTATTTATTGAGGGATTCAAAACTAAAGTGGAAATATTCATATCAGCAGGATGGCAGAGTTTTTATTCATAAAGTCAACAAAGTCTCTACAGGAGGGTTGATTGTGTACCTCTACTGCCTTCAGACATTCATCAGCAAACTTACTGAGTGGCTGGAAGAGTGAATTGGCCCTGTGGATAAATGTAGAC